ACCCTGTATTTTGTTTTCTGGCATCCACCAGCAACTTCTCATATTCTTAATTAGAAAAATATTTTTCCCTGCTAGCGTTGGCCTCGTTGAGTTAACTCCAGGCTTTGTGTTTGTTTTCCTTTTCTCCATCTGAGCTGCTCCATTTGTCCTTCCCAGCACTGTCAGCTCAGGGATCTCATGGGATGGGCTGGGGAATTCCACCAAAAGATCAGATTGTTAATTACAATTCGACCAAAATATTGTTAATTACAATTTGACCCAAACATCGTTAATGACTCGATCAAAACATCGTTAATGACTCGATCAAAACATTGTTAATGACTTGATCTGTCCTGGGGAGTGGAGCCATCCACCCTCTGTTAGGGGTTTTTGGAGGGTGCTGTGGACATTCACAGGGTATTTAGGGTACTTTGGAGGGTGTTATGGACATTCACAGGGTGTTTAGGGTACTTTGGAGGGCGTTATGGATATTCAGAGGGTATTTAGGATATTTTGGAGGGCGTTATGGACATTCACAGGGTATTTAGCTGGTGTTTCAGAGCGTGCTGTGCAGGGCAGAGCTGTAAACCCTCCGTTCCTGCTGCCTCTAAGGGTTTTTCCAGCACTTTCATGGCTCTTTGCAGGTTTAGAAGCACTTCTCAAGGAAAGCAGAACTCGTGTGCTGGATACCTTAAGGAAAAGCCCAGCTCAGCCTTTTCTGGCTCACCCCATCCCCTGCATCGGTGCAGATTGATAAGGTGACAATATCTGAAAGAATCGATTTTTTTCACCATTTTTAAAGCAAGAATCTCCCGGCTCTGAGGGAGGTTTGGTTTTCCTGCTCTCGGGGGCTTGGCCAATTGGTGTCACCATTGCCGGGGATTGATGGTGACACACGGGGAAGGAGAAGGGAACGTTCCTCAGTCTCCCGGAAGGCCATGAGGCTGGGAAACGACGGCTCAAGGTGCAAACCTCACCAAACCGCACCTGTGCGCACCTGAGCAGCTCCCGGAGCTGAGGGCAGCTGCGTGAGTTTACTCAGCTGTGCGGTGATTTGTGCAGGTGAGTTAAATAAATCACCCCACGAGTGCTGAGCTTAGGGTGTGCATTAGCAGAAAGGCTGGCAGTAAATGCGAGTGGATGTGTGCTGGTCTCTCAGCTGTAATCACTGCCTGCTACAGACAGACAGACAGACGGACAGCCTGGCCAGAGGCAGCTGTTGTAATCCACAGTATTTATCCATCTGTTACACAAAATCCATCGATTCTGAACCCCTCCCTCCCGAGGTGTTTGCTGAAACCTTTCAGTCCCAGTCATGCACCAGCTCTCACCTGGTAAACGGGCGATCCCAGTGGGAACAAGGCAAGAGAAGTGAAATTGTAAATGGTTTGTGTGCTGTGGGGTCAGACCTGCTCCCTCCCGTGCTTTGACCAGTGTCAGCTCCAGAGGCTTCACCGGGGCTGGGCTGGGCTGTCCTCTCCTGGCAAATGCAGCTGCAGCTTCTGCTGCCTCCTGCCCCAGCCCTGGCTCCAGCCTGGCCTGCAGGGACCTGCAAGGGCTTCCAGGGACCTGAAAGGGCTTCCAGGGACCCACAGGGACCTGCAGGGAGCTAAAAGGACCTCCAGGGACATGCAGGGACCTGCAAGGGCTTCCAGGAACCCACAGGGACCTGCAGGGACCTGCAAGGGCTTCCAGGGACCTGAAAGGGCTTCCAGGGACCCGCAGGGACCTGCAGGGACCCGAAAGGGCTTCCAGGGACCTGCAAGGACCCGAAAGGGCTTCCAGGGACCCACAGGGACCTGCAGGGAGCTAAAAGGACCTCCAGGGACATGCAGGGACCTGCAAGGGCTTCCAGGAACCCACAGGGACCTGCAGGGACCCGAAAGGGCTTCCAGGGACCTGCAAGGACCCGAAAGGGCTTCCAGGAACCCACAGGGACCTGCAGGGAACTAAAAAGACCTCCAAGGACCTGCAAGGACCTGCAGGGACCTGAAAGGGCTTCCAGGAACCTACAGGGACCTGCAGGGACCTGCAGGAAGCTAAAAGGACCTGCAAGGGCTTCCAGGAACCTGCAGGGACCCAAAAGGGCTTCCAGGAACCCACAGGGACCTGCAAGGACCTGCAAGGGCTCACAGGGACCTGCAGGGACCTGAAAAGGCTTCCAGGAACCCACAGGGACCTGCAGGGAACTAAAAAGAACTCCAAGGACCCACAGGGACCTGCAGGGACCTGAAAGGGCTTCCAGGAACCTGCAAGGACCTCCAAGGACCTGCAGGGATCTGAAAGAGCCTCCAGGGACCTGCAAGGACCTGCAAGGGCTCACAGGGACCTGCAGGGACCTGAAAAGGCTTCCAGGAACCCACAGGGACCTGCAAGGACCTGCAAGGGCTCACAGGGACCTGCAGGGACCTGAAAAGGCTTCCAGGAACCCACAGGGACCTGCAAGGACCTGCAAGGGCTCACAGGGACCTGCAGGGACCTCCAGGGCCCCACCAGGACTGCAAACGAGCTCTGCTCCCTGCTGGGCTCCCCAGAGGTGCCCAGCTCTGCCAGTGGCTCCCGTTTGCCCTGCAGTGCTGCCCCAGTCTGTCCTGGGAGCACCGTGGCTTTTCCAGGGCGTGCTTCAGAGCATCCCAGGGATCAATCCAGAGTTTGTTTCTGCAGTCTCCAGTGCCTGCTCGCACTTTGCTGTTTCTGCAGAAATTTCTGGCAGGGAACTTGTTTGCTTGGATCCTCGCGGTTGTTTTGGTAAGCATATTCTGTCCCTTGACAGGCCCCTCTTGGCAAATATTTCAAATTCCTGTCTTTCTCTTTTCACATTTTAGTTTTTCCTCAGGATTTTTAGCTGCAGCTCTGTGTTATTTCTAAGAATTGCTCTTCTTGTCACTATAGGGTTTACACAGAATTCCTCCTCTTCCCCCAGGATATGCAGGAGATTGTGGCTCACACTAATGAGAGAGGAAGTCTCAAAAAAGCTGGAGGGAAATAGGCAAAAGCCAGCCTGGCTATCACTCATTTTTGTAAGAACTGAAATTCAAAAAAATTCAAAATTCTTCTTTTATGGGCCCTAAATCAGGATTGCAAACAAAACTGGCATTTTATTTCAACACTGAAATTTTGTAGCACTGAACCTGGGCAACCTCAGAGCATCCACCCAGTGTGAGGGGCTCAGGGCTGTGGAATGTCCAGAAAGGGGAACAGAAAAGGTGAGGGTAGAGAACAGGTGCAGGTAGAGAATATCTCCATACAGGAGAGTAGAATTGGGACAGAATATCTCCATAGAGGAGAGTAGAACTGGTACACAATATCTCCATACAGGAGAGTAGAACAGGTGCAGGTACAGAAGAGCTACAGGTACAGAGTGTTGGTAGGGAAATGCAGGGAAGAAGTTAACAGGGATGGAAAGTGTATCAAATTTTGTTTAAAATATGAGTTTTTCAGTTTCTTTGGCTGAAGATAAAGAATTTTGAGAGAACTGAAAACAAGGCTGTATCACAGAAGAGCAAATAAAATTAAGAATATCTAGCTGTTATTTTTCCTTTACATAGAAAATGCTGGTTAATTGTGACATTGAGTGTAATTGGGAGAGTGTTATAAAATACTTACATGTAATTATTTTTATTAAAGCAGGAAGCAAAGTAGCAACTACAGAAGCTTTTCCCTAGCTTTGTGCAGCTGCGAGGAAACCGGAGAGATGAGGAATGCCTCAGTTTCCCAAGCTTTGTACAGAGCAGGTAAAACCAATCCCTGGGAGTGCCATGTGATTCCAATCAGTGCTTTTAACGCTTTCTCCGGACAGAAACACAGCCTAAGCTTGTTCTTTTTAACAAACAGGGGTCAGTTGTTGTCTATAACAAACAGGTGTCCGTTGTTGTTTTTAACAAACAGGTGTCAGGTTTCGGAGCTGTTTGAGCTGCGGCGCTGGGCTGGGTGTGGCCCTGATCGCCCCCAGGTGCGGATTTTGGGGAGTTCCCCTCCCTGCCGGGGCCGGGACGGGAATGGAGAGGAAGGGACAGGAATGGAGAGAAAGGGGCAGGAGTGGAGAGGAATGGATAGGAATGGACAGAAAGGGACAGGAATGAACAGGAATAGATAGCAATGGAGAGAAAGGGACAGGAATGGACAGGAGTGGAGAGGGATGGGAAGGAGCGGGGTGGGACGGGGCAGGCGGGAGCGCTGACATCACCGCAGGGCGCGGGCTGGGGAGCGGCGCGGTCCCGGTCCCGCTCCCGCCGCTCCTTTCGGCCCCTTCCGGCTCCTTTCGGGTAATTTCAGCTCCTTTCGGGTAATTTCAGCCCATTTCGGCCCATCTGAGCCCACCTGGGAGCCAGCAAGGAGTTTCCCCTGGGGTCAGCGAGGCAGCGCCTCCAGAGCGAGCGGAGACCGTGGACAGAAAGTTACGAACCAGATCTTTTCGGCCCGTTTGAGCCCGTTTCAGCCCATTTCAGCCCGTCTGAGCCCACCTGGCAGCGGACAGGGCGTTTTCCCGGGCTCTCTCTCCCTGCAGCGCCTCGGAGCGAGCGGAGCCGCGGGGAGCGCAGACCGCGGACAGAAATTTGCAGATAAGATCATCTCGGCTCATTTCGGACCGTTCCGGCCCATTTCGGACCCTTTCGGACCGTCTGAGCGCACCCGGGAGCCATCGAGGAGTTTTCTCCGGGGTCGCAGGCAGCGCTCGGGGCCGGGGAGCGCGGACAGAAAGTCCCGAACCAGATCTTTTCTATTCGGCACACGCTGGGATAGGAGTGTTGGGCTTCTTGCCACGGGACAGCGCAACTGCGGCGCTTGGTGCGCGTTTCTGTGAATTTTCCTGCGGTCACGGGAGTTTATTCGGAGTTAAATGAAGATACCGAGGGGTGAAGCAAGAAAACAACGCTTGGAGGGTCTGGAGGGCTTTTTTGGCAGCACTGAAGGAATGGACCTTTTGAACCTGCGTGGAAAATGTCCTTTTTGATACCAAAAGTCGCAAAGGAAAACTTATGATTGGAATCTTACAGGAGTTTGAGTTCGGCTGTACTTTTAACCTTGCGTAGACCATGGAGAGTTTGTTCTCGCTGCTCTGTTGCCATTATTCGCTGCTGATTTTATTTCAGCAGAAATATCAGGTAATGCTCGGAATCCTCTCAGTATGGAGGGGTGCTCGGGCTCCTCGTGGCGGGTTGTGCCTGGCCGTGTCTCACTGTGCGGTGTTTTATGTGCAGGTGTACGGGAACCATTCCCAGCTCCCCAAACACCCAGGTAAGGAATGCTCTGCTTCCCTTTTCTGACGATATGCTTGAGAATTTATTGGCTTTTTTTGCGGTTTCTGAGGTTTTTTATTGCCGTAGTAGCCCCAAAGAAGCTGAGCCCATGTTTGAGTGCCAGCCTGCATTAAAGGTGTGATGTCCAAAGTGTGTGAGGCTGTACCAGGCACTGTGAATTCAGTTCCCCACCCACGGAATATCCTGACACAAACACATTTGGAGGAAAATGCCTTGGATTTGGTGTGTGGGACAGTCCTGTCCTCGCTTTCCTGAGTGTGAGTTTCTGAATCAGATCTCTGCATAGACGATTTCCCTTTCCCCCCACATTCAGCGTTTTTGGTTCAGCAATGAGCAGTTGGATGTGCCAGTTTGTTCACTTTGCTGTTCTCTGGCGTGGCTTCAGCTCCTCTCCCCTCCTCCCAGCCTCACACTTGGGTTTAAATCAGTCACAGAGCAGATTAAGGATTTCTCATCTGTTTCCAACGTAAAAAAACTCCCTGAGAGCTCAGAAGGGTTTGTGTGTGCAACTGCAGAATTCCTCTGTTTATATAAATAGTTTAACCTCAAGCCTCATGGTGGTGTGCAAGTACAGTTTTACTGCTTTGCCAGCCCTGGGTTGCCTTTTTCAGCTTTCACCACATGTAATTATTCTCAAGAAAAAGGCAGAGCGATGGGGAGAGGCCACGTCTGTTGAAGGAGTAATTAATGGCTTCTGCTCCACCGAAAAAAAAAGAGTCCTATTTCCTAAAAACGAGGAAATTCTGTGGCTTCTGGCTGGTGAAGAAAGGGGAAACCCTGCTGCCCCAGGTGGGGAGTCCCACGGGCTGGGCTGGGCTGCAGGGTCTGCCGCAGGTTTGGAGCAGCCCTGGGGCCTCTCCTGCGTGGGGTCACTGCCTGTGGAAGGGTTTTACATTCAGGGCAGCCAGTGCTCGATCCAGAGGTCTCAGCTGAGCTGGGCTTGCCCGGAATTTTCGGATTTTGTTTTGTGTGGGTGCCCGTGCGCCGAGGCTGGCGGTGCCCTCGTCCTGGCAGTGCCAGCTGGGCCCTCCTGGGCCCTCCCGGCACCCAGAGGCCACGGAGAACCACGGATCCCATTTCCCTCCCGGGGGACATCCCCATCTTATCTGCCTGTACTCTGCTCCCTTCCTGAGGGAAAGCCTCTATGGCAACAGCAAACACTGAGTTAGGTGGGCTAAGAATAGATGCTGAATTAATGAATTCAGTTATGAATCATTTGTTAGATATCTCTGCTCTGGTTGACTTTGGAAGCGAGTCTGGGTAGTTCTTGTACCCTCACAAGGTGCAGAACTTGGAGTTCTGTTTCCTCAGGCCTGCAATTGCTTCTTGTGAAGTTCAGCAATTTTATCAACTTTGCACTCAAAATAAAGAAATAAATCTTAGGATCCCATCTGTGTCCCACCTCAGAAACTGCACCATGAGGATGGAGGCCATTGAGGGGCTCTCCAAGGGGGCATCAGGCACTTTATTGAAGCTTTTGCACCTTCGTGGTACAAAACTCTGGTGTATCGAGGACAAGGACAGAGCAAGCATCAAACAGCAAAAGGGTTTGGTCTGTGAGGTGAAGAAAGGTGTGGGATGAGGCCAAGGACACAGCTCCTGCCTCGGGTTAATGTGCACATCAGCTGTGGGGAGGGTTTGCCGTGTCTGACACCTCAAGTGGGGTTTGACAGACTTTCCTGTCAGCTCCACACCTCAGGCTCCTGAGGTATTGCTTGGGATGGAAAATGGTTGCAGGGCAGAGAACAAGAAATGTGGTGGATAGGAAGCCTGGCTCTGTTTGTCCCTGTTACCCTTTGTGTTGTCCCCGTAGCCCAGGCTGGTGGGATGAAATGCCATGATTGTGCACCTGTGGAAAAACTTCTGTATCTGTGTCACCTTCCCCAAAGTTTCTTAGCTGTAGGACATGCTGCATTCATTTCATCACATCTGATTAAATCAATTGTTTTGTAAATAAAGGGTTTCTTGCAGCAAGCAAGATAGTAAGAAATTACAAGTCATGTTTTTGTACACTAGTAATGCTCTACCCTTGAAATAGAATTGTTATCTTGACAGAAAATTTGGTTGTTTTGGGCAGCCTGCTCCTGCTTAAGTTTGAGTGAGCCCAGGTCCCAGAATTTGTTCAAGCTCTGGTCCATCAGCCTGTACAGACAGAATGGCACTGGAAACCTGCAGGTTCTGGCCTTTGCCAGCTTGAGAAGCTGCTGGAAAGGGGAATTGCAGGAGAACCAATGCAGGTTCCCATGAGGTCCAGAGGGGGTTCAGGGTGCAGGGAAGGCTCTGGAGGCAGGGCTGGTGCCAGGGCAGTGGGAGCTGTTCCTTCAGCTCCTGTCAGCATAGCCCAGCTGCCCTGGTGCCCCCAGGAGCAGGGATGGGTGCTCTGAACCTCCCCAGGGCTCCAAACCTCAGGAAAACCTGGAATTGCTCTGCAGTGACTCCTCAGCCCCAGTGGATGCTGCCACGTTCACCAGCAGAGGTTTAGCCAGAGATTGTGACACGTTTTAGGTGCAATTAGAAGGAGAATCAGCTGGGATTTAGAAGCAGGTTTTCTGCAGTGGTTAATCAGTGATAAGGCTTTAATCTACGCTGCTGCTCTGATTTATGGCCTCGCTTGTGTGCCACGCTTGATTTACATAAAATATTTCGGTTTACTTAACCTTTCAACCTCTTTTATGGTTATTTTCTGTGGAGACTTGTTACACACCTTGTTGCTCTTTTTAATTTAATAATCTCCCGACCTGTGTTTCTTGAAAGGGTTCAAAGTCCTGGCATCAGCCTCCCACTACTGGCCCCTGGAAGATGTGGATGGAATTCACGAGTTCCGGGACACCAACGGAGGTACCAAAGCCTGGCCTGGCTCCGTGCCTGCCTGCAGGAGATGGCAAAGGGGTCACTTCTGTAGCTCAGAGGTTGGGGTTTTCCCCAGTGAATGTGTTTGCAGGGCTCCCATACCCAAATGACGTTGTATTTGTGATTTCTGATTTTTGTGGAGTGTTCTCCCAGGTTTTATGGGCTGGGTGTGCATTGCTGAGGTTATAAAGAGAAGAGGTTTGTGATCCAAGGAGCCCCTGAGATCACACTGTTACTGGCCCCAGTGCTCTCAGGGATCTCTCCCTTGGCTTTGGGGGAGCTCAGTGCCCGAGCTCCTCAGGCCCTTCTGAATGTTCGTGTAGCTCTAGAGACAAAAACGAGTGAGAGGTGTCCAGATGAGAGCCCACACCTTCCTATCTGCCTTTGGGAGTTCCCTTATTGCAGTGTGAGCTGATAGAAGTTAAATTCTTTTTCCAGCTGGGCAAAATCAGAAGAGATTTGCCGAGGCAAAGCTGTTCCTGGTGAGCCAGGGTGGGACTGTGTGAGCCAGAGGGAACAGCACTTCTGCTCCAGGGTGGAGGTGCAGCCCCTGGCTGTCCCCCCGAGCTGTGGGGCTGTCCCTCCCTCCCCAGGAGTGAGCTGAGCTCTGTCCCTTGGAGGCTCAGGCTCCCCAGGACTCCCCAGGAGCTGATTTTGCCCTGCTCACACCTTGGCCAGCTCCAGATGTGCTGCTGTGCATCCCCAGAGCTCCCCAGTGTTCCCAAACCTTCTGCCAGAAGTGGCAATATCAATCTCTGATCTGTGAATATCCAAATCCCTTCATTGGAGAGGTGTTCAGGTGTTTTCAGCCTAAGCTTTGTCCTCTTTCCCCAACATTTCTGAAAGGAATGGAATTGCCTGACCAGGAATAGATCTGGGCAATATTCTGCTTCCATTGGGAGCTGATGGCAGCATTCCTACTGACTGCAAGAGAACAATAATTTGGCTCACAGAAGTTGCCACATAAGTTCTCTAAAAGTGTGTTAAAGTAATTTTCTGACCCTGGACTCCACGTGGTTTCAAAAAGAGTGAAGTGCTCCATATCTAGCACTGTCTTGGCAGTCACATTACAACCAAGCTGTTTGGAAAATGATATATAGAAAATACAGCTCTTGGAAAAGGACAATTGATGTTAGATTGTTTCTCAGATTTAGTTTAATTTTACTCTGGCAAAATTCAGAAATATTTCAGTGCCTTGCAAGAGAGAAAGCAGAACAGATGAAGTTCCTGCTCCTACCAGCCTTCACTTGCAGGAAGGGTTCTGGCTCACAGGAGCAATCTCTTTGGATTCCTATTACATCATAGTGATAAAGAAATTTATAGATGAGCCAGCTGCAGCACTTTGCTGCACAAATTGGGTGGGTTTTTTCTTGCAGGGGCCTCAGTAGCCAGAGGTGTTTGTCTCTGCAGTGCAGCTCTGGCAGGGCTGAGCTCTCTCTGCACTGGATGGCTCAGGTTCCTCCCACTTGTTTATGTTGTGCCTTATCAGACACAGATATCATTTCAGCTGCCTCCAGCAGAGGTTTTATCTGTCTGATATTTCACTTTGATATACAAGAAAAGTGTGCTTTATTGTTGCAATCTACTCCAGGTGACAATTTGCTTGGTTTGGGCTCCGTTCTGATTACACAGCTCTTCTGTTTATTGCAGAGCCTGCCTTGTTTTTCCACTCATCAGATCATGCAATTATTTTCATTCCATGTTTCTCCTCTTAAATCCTTGAAGCACCATGATCTGTCTGTCACGTTAATCCATTTTATTTGTTGAAGTCATTGTGTGTGAAGCCAGATTTATATCTCTCAAAGCATTCGTGTGCTGAGAGTGTGGCAGCAAATTAATGCTTTGGAAATCTCAGCACTAGCAGCAATTGAAAGGAAACAATCAGCTCAAAATATAGCAAATAAAAGGAAAGTGGCCGTGCTCAGGTTTTTCATCTGGCCCCTTGATTGCCATGCATTTTTACCTGGAGGCTTTTGTGTGTGTTTTTCTTTTCCTAAGAGCATTTGTCTTTTTGTTCTGTGAGCTCAGTTGGTCTAAATGCCAAATCAATGTCTCTCCATCTACTTTCATGGGCTTTTCATCAGGCTTTATTTGCCTGCCCAGGGTAAACAATTACAGTGTGCAAGATACTGTTAAATTTTCAAAATCAGAGAAAAAAAAATCCAGAATAAAACCTTATGGTCAGACATAAAAAAGTTGGAGGTTTTCTGATATTTGGCTGGAGTTTCTTGTATTTTGATTTGTGCCCGTTGCTCTGATTTGCTCTCTGGGCACAAACGAGCAGAGCCTGGCCCGTTTTTCCATCTCCAGCTGGGATTTTACAGATTTCTCTGCTCAGTAGCAGAGGGAAGCCTTCCTCCAGTGGCTCTGCCTTTCCTGAGCAGGTGGAGCCCAGGGCAAATCTCAATCAGCAGATCTGTGATTTGTGCTGTGTGAGAGATATGAACTGGCCAATTCATTGCTGGTGGTGTTTATTCATTGTTTGCTCATTTGCTTGTTTTCTTTTGTTGTTCCACCCAGCTCTAAGAATCCACAACTTCACTGTGCTTCCTCCCCATAACTCTACCTTTGTAAATACCAATGACTCTGCCTACTCTAACTTCTCTGCAACTGTAGGTGAGGATTTGCTGGTTTTTTGTTCTGCATTTCTCAGGCGTGGATGGTTCTTGTAACCTCGGATTCAGAGTGAACTCTGGGTTTGGGTTCAAGTGCTCGTGTGGTAAAAGCGATGATGATGATGATGATTATTATTACTATTATTATTATTATTTCACTGTCACATGTTGCTGGAAAAGTGTTACCTGCATTGCTGGAATTCTGGAAGAGGCATCCCCACATGAATCCCATGGGAGGATGGGCCCCAGGGATCCTCCAAAATCTATAAAAAATAATATTATGCTTAAAAGAAACAGAGGTGACGTTTCAGAGGAACATATAAGAATAAGCAGGTTATTTTTTTTCTCGTCTTTCAAGGCTAAAATGGAAAAGAAGCCCTCTGTTTTTCACTTTTTTATCATAGTTTTAGAGGACATGTTGAGAAAGACAAATGCAAGCAGATTTGCAAAGCCTGGCAGTGAGGTGTTGTCAGTCACGACAGCTTTGGTTAACATGATGGTTTGTTTTGGCTTTTTATTTGTTTGTTTTCTTAATGAGAAGCGAATATTTCTATCTATGTCCTTATATTAATTTTTTGAACATCCACACCCAGAAACTGCCAAGTCCCAGGCAGGAGCCTGGCAGACTGGAAAGCAGCTACAGCAGCTTAAAGTCACTTAATTTCAGTAATTGCATTTGTGCTGTGGAGCTGCAGTTGAAATGTGACCTAGTGCCCACTGTGCCTTAGGTATTAACTCACATCACACTGTCAGAAACCCGACCTGGGGAGAGGGATGGAAGTGGTGAAACTGTCACTCGGGCTGCTCAGACAGTAACACTTTTATATTGCAATACTAAACCCACCAGTTTTTTACTCTCTAACAGTAAAAGTATGCTGGCAAATGGGAGCTCTATTAATGATGAACTTCAAATGACCCTAATTCCTTCCAGTCCTCTCTTATCTGCTTTATAGACCATTTGCATAGTTCTCACATAATAAAGTGTGCTCAGTATGAACATCACAGAGTGACACCCATGGCAAGGAAGGGCTGGGGGAACAGAAATGTGTCACCTTATGGGAACTTCCCTGCAGAGAGGGAAATTTATAATTAAGTGCCTTGAGAAGAGTTTGGAAATGCTTGATTTACCCCATAGTACACACTCATATTTTTAAAAGGAACTGAATTTTATCTGTCAGTTAGAGGCAGGACTTGATGGTTTCTTCCTCAAAAGGAGGGAAAGATACCTGAAAACTGATGTTTAAATGAGGATTTGGGATGAGCAAAGAGAACATTGAAACTTGCATTCCCTGCATTCGTTCAGGAAAGGAAAATGTCTCCCATGCTGGAGCTCCCTCAGAGCAGCTCTTCTCAATGCTTTTCCAGAAGAAATTCTGAAGAAGGTCCCAAACCCAGGGTTCTGACAGCCCTTGCAGAAATTCCATCCCAAGAACGGTGGGAACAGAAATCCCCCACCAAAACCTGACATTGTCTGCTCAGAAACAGCAATCCAACCTTCTCTGCTCTCTGCAGGCATCTCAGATTTTGGTTGTGATTTTTGATTGTGGTTTCCCATTGTGTGCAATGCTGAAATCAGCCAGGACAAACAGGAACGCTCCCCACCACCCTCTGTCAGCTGCACTCAGACCTTGATGAGGTCAGTGATGCAGCAAACCAGCCCCAGGTTTCTGTGCCGAGAGATCCTGTGCCTCAGCTGGTGGGAGAGGACACAAGGAAATCACAAACAAATTAGTCATTATCCCCATTGGATAAATAGTCATTGTCCCCATTGGATAAATGGTCATTGCCCTTCCAGGGGCCAAGGACAGCCCAGCAGAGCCTGTCTGACAGGAGATCTGCTTCTGTCTTTGGGTGCACCTTGTCAGGGATCTTTCACTGAGTTATTTCTCAGTGAAAACGAGGTTGATCACCAGCTTGCCCTTTCAAAAAATGAAAAAAAGAAACACTATTTTGTTACGTTTTAATTGGTGAAGGAATTTATTTGCTGGCTCAGCCTAACGTAGTAAGACAGCTCTAGGAAGGGTCTGGCATTCCAAACTCTGCAAAGCGTAAAGTTTACTCAGATTACTCAAAAATAATCATTTTTGGGTGTATGGGTTCTGTCAGTCTTAGTTAAGCACAGAGCTGAGTGGATATGAGTGTAATAATATTTACAAACCTGAAATAAAAGAGGTGTCTGTGTGGTCTTTAAAAATACAACAAACCACTGACAAATGGAAACAAAGAAAGAAACTGAACACACAAAACTGGCAAGATGGAACAAAAACACCAAAAAGGAAAACAAACAGCAAGTGACAAAGCCATACAGTTGGAGCCAGATAAAGATCGGAGCTATAGCAGGCTGTTAAATCACATTTCCAGGAAGTTTTCCTTTATGTGAATGTTAAACTGGATTTTGCTTTTGCTCTAGATATTGTAGAAGGGATGGTGAACAAAGGGATTTACGTCACTGAAAAGAAAGGAGTCACCTTTCTCTTCTTTGGGAGCTACAGAAATTCCTGCATCAGTAATCCAGAGGCTTGTGGGCCTGAAGGTGAGAAACTCGTTCATTGTGATTGACCCTTCTTTTGCTGCCAAATTATTCAATAATCATTGTTTCTTTCCTCCTTGGAATGAAATCTAAAAACGAGGCTTGACACTTTGTTGACTTCTAAGACAATTGAGTGTTGATTGCTGAAAATTTAGCCTTTTCTAACTGCAGGTTAAATTAGAAGCGGAGCTTTGCTGATTTTAAAAATGCTGTCCTGGTTTATGCCAGCAGATGATCTGTGCTCAAAGGCATCCCCACTGCCTGTGTTCTGCACGCTGGAAATGTTCAGTTGCGCTCGGTTTTTTCATTCACGTCTCCTCTCCCTTGCTTTCCTCAGGGGTAACGTTTTCCTTCTTCTGGAAGACCCAAGACCAGCAGGCCAAGCTGCTCCCTGCCTCTGGAGGCCGAGTGATTTCCAGCGGTTTCAAAATCTGCTCAAACGAAGGCGAGGGCTCCGTGGAGTTCTACACGCGGGGAAATGCAATGATGAAGTGGAAAGCAAGCTTCAGCCCACCAGGTGAAGTTTCTGTATTTAAAAAAAAACAGATTTCTTTCTTGCACTTTGCTTTTTTCCTGCACACAGCGGTGGTGAGAAGAGCACAACTTGAGGAAAGGGAAAGGGGGTGTATAAAATAGCTACAGGCCTCTGTGCTGAGAACAGAGGATAAGATGCAAAGGAAAGCAGTGATAGTGATGTATTATAGAACACTGGCCATGGCCAGCAGCCCCTGGGCCCAGCTTGCAGAGGGGTCTGGAGTTGAGTCCTCGTTGACTCCTGTGGTTCTTGCACGTCTGAGTGGGAGCAGGAGCCAGGAATGCAGATTCATCCCTGGCAGCTCCCAGGGCACCCCAGGGCTGCTCTCTGCTGAATTCAGCCTTTATTTGGAAACTCTCTCACTGCTCTTTGGTGCCTTCATGATTCTGTTTCTGTTGAGTGCCAGGTTTCCTGTGCCAAGCCATAGCATTAATAAACATTTTGGTGTATCACATATCTCACTGCTTCTGTCTAAACTGTGCCTTGCTGGGGAACACTAATATCTACTGACTGGAACAAATGCTGGTCTTCCCCTAATGCTAATGGCATTCCATAAATATTTTCTGGCCCTAATTTGACTGCCTGTACATTGTTGAAATAGGACTCACAGTAGCAGTTTCATAAACCTTAATGAATCAGTTCAGAAATCTTCTTTTAAGAGAAAAGCTGCAAATGGCAAGAATAATTCACACGTTTGTGGATTATCCAGCCCAAGTGAAAATGAGTATTGTGTTTTCTGGCTCTCAAGCATAACCAGGGAATGGTGAGAACTCTTGAGTGGTTTATGTGCTTGTTCTCCAGCTCTTGCAGTCCTTGTGCTGCTCTCTCTGGCCTGAGGTTGAGGCAGGAGTGAAGAGCCCTCAGATCTCAGCCAGCAGCACTCAGCAGGGGGAATTTATGGAGCTGCAGTGAGCCCAGGTTCAGGCAAGGCTGAGGGCATCCTGCCAGGCATGGGCTTCCCCAGAGGGGTGAGGAGTGATGGGCACAGCACCAGCATTCCATGGCTCACCATTGGCCTCCCTGGCAGCTCCATGGCCGGGAGAGTCCAGCAGGGAGCTCTGGATGGAGCTGGACCCAGCTCTGGAAGGGTCTCTGGAGCTGCTCCCAGCCCTGCTGTGCCTCTGCTGCCTTGCAGGTCCCTACTGGACCCACGTGTTGTTCACCTGGCGGTCGAGGGAAGGCCTGAAGGTGTACGTGAACGGCACGCTGAGCACCACGGACCCCGAGGGGAAGGTGTTCTATGACTATGGGGACGCCAGCCCTGACCTGCTGGGCACGGAGGGAGCAGCCCCACGCTCCGTCAGCGGCGCCTTCGACGAGTTTGTGATCTGGGAGAGGGCGCTGAGCCCGCGCGAGGTGCGCCAGTACTTCACTGCTGCTGTGGGTGAGTGTGGGCAGGGCACCTGTGAGAAACGGCTGCTCGCTTTCCATAGCTTGTGTTATACGTGAATTAGTCAATTTAATTAACAAGAATTTATTCAGTATTAAAATACAACTGCAAAAAGGCCACAAGCACAGATCAGACCGGCGCTGGGCCCGCGTGAGGTGCGCCAGTACTTCACTGCTGCTGTGGGTGAGTGTGGGCAGGGCACCTGTGAGAAATGGCTGCTTGCTTTCCATAGCTTGTGTTATATGTGAATTAGTCAATTTGATTAACAAGGAGAATTTATGCCATAATTAAAATACAATTGTAAGAAGGCCAAAGATCAGATGGGCGCTGAGCCCGCGCGAGGTGCGCCAGTGCTTCACTGCCACCGGGGGTGAGTGGGGCAGGGTGTGGACACCTCTGAGAAATGGCTGCTCACTTTTCATAGTTCGTGTTATAAATTAATTAGCCAGTTTGATTAACAAGGAGGATTTATCCAGTATTAAAATACAATCGTAAAAAGGCCCCAAGCAAAGATCAGATCGCACGAGGTGCCAGTGCTTCACTGCCACTGTGGGTGAGAGTGGCCAGGCTGGGCAGGGCACCTGTGAGAAATGGCTGCTCACTTTCCATAGTTTTCAATCTTTAAAAAGTTTATAATGCTCTGGTCATGGTGGAAAAAATGCTTTTGTATTTGGCTGCTGTATCTTTGACAACAATGAGGGTTACTATAACACTGTCCCATTAATCACCCTCTGTGATTAATGCAGCTCCACAAGAATGTTCTGCTGCCAAACCCCAGAGCAGCAGATTTTCAAATTTCCCCAATTCATCAATACATGTGCCCTGTCCCGCTGCCAGGGAGGAATGGCTTGAATAAACACAGGGAGAGCCCTTTTTAACCCCTTTTTAACCCTGTGGGCTCCCAGCACTGCCCTCTGACAGACTGGGAAGGTCCTCCCAGGGAATCAAATCCTGTGCAGGGCTCTGCTCCCTCTCCTTCCCTCTGGGCCCCAAATCTGATTCTGCACATCAGTGCTGGGAGCTCCAATTCTGCTAAATCCAGATTTTTCCAGAGCTGTGCAGAATTCTGCCTGCATCCCACCTTTAATCCCAGCTGATTTTCAGGAGGCTGCATCCCAGACTCCTTGATTTGTGCCTTGAGGTGCTCGTGCTGTGAGCACCTGTGACTTTACTGCAATTTCCATGGCATTAATTGCCCTGTTGATGGGTTCTTCTCCTAAACTCCTGGTTCCACAGGTTTTTTAGTGTCATGTGGAACTATCAGAATGCTGTGAAAAACAAATGTGTGCCTCTTAATTGAAAGTGAAGCTGGATATGTATTTTCCAGGGGCTTAGAAATTCAAATGTAAAGGGATGCCAGGTATATATTTTGTTTAATTAGACAGAAGAATTCTAAGCCAACATTGCTTTAATGTGATCAAGTGTTTTGGAGCACCTGGGAAATGTGGCAATTTAATTTTTGGCTTTTCTCTTTAAAATAATAGACTGATTGGATTTTATAAAATTTCCCACTTAATGTATGAAATTAGAATGTTCTCAGAGGAAGCAATGGGTATTACAATAGTAATGAACAGAGGTAGAAAGGTTATGATATCTATTTATTGATTTTGGGGGATTTCTAGCAGGGTTGAGGCAGGGTAATATGCTTTGACATAAGCAAATAGGACAGGCTGGTTTTTAATTGAATGAATGCTCATGTTCCTTTTGGATCCATGAGAGAAACGGCTCCTGTGGATGCAGCTAATGTTGGATTGCACAGAGACTCCACACCCCTGGCAAATGATAACCCTTGGTCAGATGTAGATTAGAAGAAAATTTGATTCCTCTATCACAAATGAGTAATAAATGCCTTATCACAGAATGGAATCAATGTTCTTTAATGGAGCGACTGAAGGCCGTCCAGAATCAAGTTTATTCTCTCTGTCTTGACAAATCATTTCTGCCATGCTCATGTGGTCGTTTTCATCACCATTTCTACCCCTGCTCTTCCACGTGGGGGTTCCTCAGTTTGGCTGCAAGCACTGGGAGTATTTCCACTGGCTTTGACTATTTCTCAGACATTCGGATAGCACAGGTTTCTGATGGGCAAAAGCCTTTCCGAGCTTGCCCTTGTGGGTGTGATTTTATTTGGCACTGGGACAATTCAGCCTCGAGATCGGAGTCAGCTCCAGCAGCTGGGGATGGGAGCTGGGGCTTCACCCTCCTTTTTCCAGGGTCCCAGTCCCAGTTTGTCTCACTTACAGAAATAAAACAAGATCTTCCATGACACTGTCAGAGCTGTCCACAGATCATCATTTATTTCTGATAAGGCAGAGGATTTAAAATAACTCCAAACCTTAAAGAATTTCTGTAAATGTTGGGGAAGAAGCTGGAGGAGAAAGATGGATGTCAGTGTTGTAACTGTACCTTTGGCCTTTTTTATTGAGATATAACACTTGAAATTTCCTGTTTGCAAACCAAGATTTAGGTATGCAAGACTTCAACTACTGCAATGCTCATCTGTAATAAGATGATGGAATAAAACTGATGACAGCATCAGAAAATTATATTTTTTAAACAAGGCTGTGTGGCTACATTAATGGAAATAAATAAAGTCCACAGAAATCTGTTGCTTTCAGTTGGAACTGATCCAGCCTGAGGTGGGAATGAATATATATATATATATTTATATGTATATATATATATAATATTATGTATCTGATATAAGAAATCCAGATTTGTAACAGCCTCATTTGTGTTTGTGCTTCCCCAGGTGTGCAAGTGCTGCTCTCTTCAACACTTCCCTGGTCTCTGATGACAACCACAACAAACCCCTCTGTGGTAGGACAGAGCTCAGACCCCTCCATAATGGCACAACATGCAGAAATCAGAGTTACAGTGATTTACTCCTCACTGCCCCATTTCTGCTAATGGCACTTCTTTTCATACCCCACTTATAAGTGCCTTTGGACAGAAGTTTTAGCCACTATGGGAAGGTGGGAACACAAAGGAAATTCCCTGTTGAATAAGATATTTACTACATAAAAAAAAAAAAAAAAATTAAAAAGTAGCAACTTCTGAAGTATTACTGTTAACTTTGAAAATATAGGAGGCTAAAAACCATTTTGATAATTTTCCTTTTCCTTCCCTCCTTCGGCCCATACAGATAATTTGGGATATTCTGTGCTGAATTGTGTCTCTGCTGAAGGCAGTAGGAATAATTTGGGATATTCTGTGCTGAGTTGTGTCCATGGTGGGGCCCATACAGATAATCTGGGATATTCTGTGCTGTTTTCTGCCCTGCTGGGGCCATGCAGATAACCTGGGCTATCCTGTGCTGTTCTCTGCCCTGCTGAGGGCAGTATGGATAATTTGGGATATGTTGTATGTCTGCTGAGGGCAGTATGGATAATTTGGGATATGTTGAATATCTGCTGAGGGCAGTATGGGTAACCTGGCTGTTCTGTGCTGATTTCTGTCCCTGCTGAGGGCAGTATGGACAATTTGGGATATGTTGTATGCCTGTTCAGGGCAGCATGGATAACCTGCCTGTCCTGTGCTGTTCTCTGCCCTGCTGAGGGCAAAATGGACAATTTGGGATATTCTGTATGTCTCCTGGTGGCAGTGTGGATAACCTGCCTGTCCTGTGCTGTTCTCTGCCCCACTGCAGCTCCCCACCGACGCCTACCAGCCCGTCCTGGCGGCGCTGAGCCAGCACAGGGGCAGCTCCCCCCCGGCCCTGTCCCTGCTGGGCCACCTGCAGAACGTGTCCTCCAGCCTGCCCAGCAAAGCCCTGGCCCAGCACACGGCCCTGAGCCTGGCCCAGGTGAGTGGGGCCCCAGGTGAGCTCCCAGGGGAGCCTGGTGTGTCCAGGGCAGCTTGGAGAGGCTCTGCTCGCTGCAGACAGCACCTGTGAAAAGAGCAGCGGCTCTTTAGGGAGCAGCAGGGGTTGAGCAGAGCTGAAATGTCTCTCTGAATGTCTGAAATCTCCCTGGAGATGTTCCTTTATGCCTTTGGGCCCGTCCTGAGCAAGGAAGGCACTGGGGGGCTGGATCTCCTCTCCCAAACATCAAGGACAAGAGGAAATGGCCTCAGGTGGTGCCACGGGAGACTTCAGTTGGATTTTAGGGTAAAACCCTTTTCTGAAAGGGTTTCAAGCACTGGGGCAGCCTGCCCAGGGAGATGGGGGAGTCACTGTCTCCTCTGAAATGGGCTCAAGGAATTTATTTTATTTATTTATTATCTCCTCTGAAATGGGCTCAAGGAGTTTATTTTATCCAGGCCATTCCACAGAGGGGGAAAAGCAAGCAGGTGTTTTCTGCAGTGTGAGCTGAACACAAGGGCCGTGTCCCACTAACATAAAGTTATAACAGTGCTGGAAAGTGATGGGCATCTAATTCCCCGATTCCAGCAGCTGCCAAGCCGTTATTGCAGAAATCAGCTCTGGCCCTGCTGCTGATTGTTCCCCTAAGCCTGAGGGTAATTCCAGAGTGACAAGGGCGCTTTAGTCAGACAAAAAATACAAATAAACCTCCTGAAACCCACAGGGACAGCGCCTGAGAGACTGCGTTAAAAGCTTAGCATTTGCAAACTCTAAAGCTTGGATTTCACGGATCACAGTGTAATATGCAGCCAAAGCCCTGCTGAAAAGCTTTAATTCGCCGTTTCCTTTGTTTTCCCGGAATATTTCCGTGGCTCTGGCTGCAGCATCCTGCCCGACCCCGTACCTGCTTCCCACACCACTGCAGTCCCTGTCTGGGCTGCTCTGTGTGCCACCACAGCGATTTGCAGGCAGAAACGTGGGCCATGATTGTCTTTAGCAGAGCTGGTTTGGGACACAAATACAAGAGTCTGCTCATACACAGCAGCCCTGTCATCTGCCTGATTGATGTGAGGCTCTGCATTGTCTGCAGCTAATTCTGAGAGACAGCCACTGAGCCTGCATGAGATTTGCTGTGCAGTTATCTCTGCCTGATTGTGTACGCCTCACAGCACCAGGAAATTTGATTTAAGTGATGTGCAATAAACTCTCTGATTACTGACGCACATAATAATGAATCGCTTCTGACAAGTCTGACTTGGGTTTGTTATGTGGTGTCTTCCACATCTCACTGTGGAACTTCACTTATTCATTCTCTGAAGGCTTTTTAATGGGTGAGTTAAAGCTGGAAACGTGGGGTTTCTCTTTTAATTTTCAGTGCAGTTTTCTGTGCTCCCTTTTCCCCTTCCATGGCAGCAGGACTCCCCAGCCCTGCTGGGACAGAGCCTGTCCCACTCTGCAGTGCCCCAGGCCAGGCTGCACAGAGGTGGAATCAGAGGATCTTTAAGGTCCCTTCCAAGCCTCCATGGTTCTACAGATGCCACAAGAGCTTAGGTAAAACAGGAGAATAATTCCTTCAGCCTCGGTCCCGGGGTTTGCTCAGCTGTGGTGGCTGCACCTGGGCAGTTACACCGTGCTGGGGCTGCCAAGGAAATCATTGTCACTCTGGGAAGGGACACAGAACGTGCTGAGGGTGCTGGCAGGCTGAGGTGCAGCTGTGGCTGCAATGGGAGTGGGCTTGTCACCCCAACATGAACCTGAGAAAATCCTGGCAGAGATCTGCCCTGCCAGGAGATGTAACTGACCAATAAGAAATGGAGTTTTATTTGTCTTTCAGGCATTTTTAAAAGCTATTGAAGATTTCCTGTTACTGTCTGACTGGATTGATGGACCAGAGGTAAGAGAAATGGGCTCAGATTGGTGATTTCCCTCAGTTGCACAAATCCACATGATGATACTGAAATGGCTGTCACTATTATTTCACTTGCTGGGATTTTTTGGCACTATGACTTATTTTATCATCTGTCACTGATGAAAGACCTGCAGGGTGAATCCAGAAATTTCCTGGGGTTTTTTTGCTTGAATCTTAAGACAACACAGATTTCAGGAGAGAGAGCTTTTAAACTGAGAGAAGGAGAAGCTAAAGCACAGGGAGGTCTCATTGAAGCCCAAAATGCTTTTGAGACAAAAAGATGTCTAATTGATTTAGGTTCTTAGTGTCAGATCCTTGACCATCTCTGGTGTAAATGGATTTCAGATAAAACAGGTTTCCTTTTCACTGAAACATGCATTAACTCTGAGATTTTATGAATCAAGTTTCAGCCTGGAGGGTTAAAGTTGCTCTTCTGCTGAGGAGCATTTGAATAAAGATGAGAGAAAGGCTGAACTGTAGTGTCTCAGCTTGTGCTCGACCTGGTACCAATCTCTAGATGTTGTCAGAAACAATTCTGCCCAGTCCCTGGCCCCGTCCTGCTGAGTGCAGGGGCAGCTCTCCCTTGGCTGCTCCCTCAGCAGCATTTGGGAATTGCACTTGGGTGGCTCCGGGCTGGGCAGCACCTTCTGCAGGGAGGGTGGGAGCCCCCGGGCTGGGCAGGGACCCCAGTGTCCCCTGGGCTGGGCTCAGTCCCTGCTCACCTGTGTCTGTCTGTCCCTGCTCACCTGTGTCTGTCTGTCTGTCTGTCCCTGCTCACCCCTGTCTGTCTGTCCCTCCGCAGAGCCTCACCGTGCTCAGCAGCCTGATCCACACCATCGACACGGTGCTGGCTCACCTGTCCCTGCACCTGGAGGGGAACTCGCTGCCTCTGACCCTCGAGGGCTCCTCTCCTGTGGCAGGTGGGGCTGGCACAGCTGGTGGGGCTGGCACGGCTGGCACAGCTGGTGGGGCTGGCACAGCTGGCACAGCTGCTCCTGGTGGGGCTGGCACAGCTGGTGGGGCTGGCACAGCTGGCATAGCTGGTGGGGCTGGCACAGCTGGCATAGCTGGTGGGGCTGGCACAGCTGGCACAGCTGCTCCTCTTCTCCTGAAGCCCCTGGGCCTGAGCTCTCCTTGCCAGCGCAGGGCCCAGCTTCTCATCCCTCTGAGGAATGCCAAAATGAGGTGATGGGCTCTGGCTGTGCCTGGGCTTCCCTGGGGTTGTTTGGGGAGGAATTCAGAGTTAGGATTATGTGTGAAGGGTTCAGTGATGCTGTGCTAATACAGTTAAAGGGCCTGGAGCTCATGTGCAGCTCCTGGAGGTTTGGGTGCTACAAAACCTTCATCTTCGCAATGGTTTTGCAAGAGACTGAAAATGATGGGAATAGTTTTGACCTTTTTGGAGAATTTTATTTTACTGCAGGTTAGCATCCTGGCACCTTAATCTGATCTGCATCTTTGGATGCTGCAGGTGCCAGGCACCCATCACTGCCTGCATCTCTCGCACAGGGGCTCTCAGGTGCAGGGCTCAGTGCCTGCAGGGCAGGGCAGCAGTGCTGCTGCTGCTCTGAGCCTGCCCTGGTGTTTAAACACAGGAATATTGAAATGGCTGCACAGCTTGGGGGGCAGGTTAAGCAGCCAGGGGGTGCAGGGCTGTGGGTGTGCTGATGTTTCTGTCTGGCCATCACAGATTATGCTGTGGTCAAAATGCACCCTCAGAGCCTGAATGTGTCCCACTATCGATTCCCATCCCGAGGGCACAGCTACGTCTCCATTCCCAGTGAAGCTTTCCATGGAAAAGGTAAGGAAGAGATTAAAGAGAGAACTGGACCCATGTGCATGGGGTACCTGCAAAGGACTTTGCTGTAGAGCAGCTTTTGGTTCACTTTATTTTGGCAGGTAACTGATTTGATCCCTGTGGATTGCACTGACTCTGAGGAAGCAGCAGTGCTCCCGTCAGGCTAACGAGCAATTAATGTGGTGGAGTTTTCATACTAATTGGATTAATATTGAATAATGGGGCTGAACTACAGAGACTGAAGCCATTTAATTCTGACACATTTTTACATCAGAGAAGCCATAATTTCATAATTATTCTTTTTAATTATCTGAACTGGTTATTTTTAAGAAATTCTAGGATGTCAGGTCAGGTATTACCTATCCCTTCATGCAAAATTGGTCTTTTGTCTAAAATTAAACTGTAAAATTAGAGGCTTAAGCAATAGCAGCTACAGGAATGGAATGAAGATTAAGACTACACTCATGGCAAAAAGGAAGAACTCAGAAATCCATACCTGTGCAAAAATTGTAATAACCCCAAAAAGAAGCGTGGCTAAAATCTGTACCTTTAGTCAAGACTCTAAAATAGCAATGTTAAGTTAATTATCTGTGCTTTACTCAGAGGTTGAAGGAACCCATTTACAAAAGCATCTACTTCCATTCTCAGATCTTTGAAAATGTGACTTCTGTGCCCCAAATTCCAACCCACAGAATTTACCCACCCGGATGCCTTTCTGCAGTCACCTCTGGAGAGGGATGGTCGGTCCCTCCTCCATAAAGTGCAAAGTTAGCTGAAAATAACCTGCAGTGAGAAATTCTCTGCTAATTACTGAACTGTCTGCCTGAATGGTGCTGACAGCTTTGTTTCTTTGCACTGGCAGGGGCTCTGGCTGGAGACTGCAAGTCCTCCCAGGTTTGAGTAACTGTAATTGCAAACCAACTTTGGAATGCCAAAAATAGCATGTGAGGGGAGTTTTTCCCTTTCCCACTTCTACAGTTCCTCACCATACAGGTTTTCTTTGATTTCCCAGAACATTGTCGTGCTTTGTATCCTGAAACGATCCAGGGCATTAAATGTTTTACTCTTTTCCAGCTGAAGCTCACTTCTGAGCAATTTCAGCCTTCAGGCCACACTCCTACACTGTCCAGATGAGCTAACCTAAAAAAATCTGTTATTTCACCTTAAACAGCTGACACTAGAAATACTTGGAACCAACAAAAGGGACAGTAAGAGACATCTGTGTGGCTCATTCTGAGAAAACACACCTCTGTCTCTGAGGGCAGTGAACTGCCTGGAATGTGGGCAGCAAGCAGCACTGGGGCTGATGGTTTGGGCTTGTTCAGCTCCAGCCTGGCTGTGCTGGGGCGCCTGGAGCCCCTGGGTCCTGCCCCCCTTCCTGCTGCTGGGGGCTATAATTGCCAATTGGGGGATCAGCAGCTGGGTTTGGAGTGCAGCTGTGCAGCACAGGCATTTCTGGCTCTCTGTTTGCCCTGGGCTGTGCAGTGTGCTCAGCCCTTGTCACTGGGCACAGCCACCAGGGCCCTGCCAAGGCCAGGCTGGGCAGTGTCACAGGCATCTTTTATGAAAATCCTTTCCTTAGGATTTTCCCTCCTGAGAAGCTGAGAGGCCTCAGGAACAAAATGCAAACAATGGTTATCTGCTGCTGTGGAATGCAACAGGTGCATCTGGGATTGGGCTCATGTGGTTGTTTCTAATTCATGGCCAATCACAGCCCAGCTGGCTCGGACAGAGAGCTGAGCCACAAACCTTTGTGATCATTCCTATTCTATTGTTAGCTAGGCTTCTGATGAAATCCTTTCTTCTATTCTTTTAGTATAGTTTTAATATAATATATATCATAAAATAATAACTCAGCCTTCTGAAACATGGAGTCAGATCCTCGTCTCTTCCGCCATCCTGGGACCCCTGTGAACACGGTCACAGGGCAGGGCTGGGCAAGGCAGTTTGTTCCTGCTGTGAACAGCCCTCAGCAAACAAGGGCTGCAGCCCTGGAAGGGTTCTCCTGCTTGGCACTGCTGCCCTGAGCAATAACCCTGCTCTGAGGAATAACCCTGTTCCCTCTCCCTGCTCTGAGCAATAACCCTGTTCTCTCTCCCTGTTCCCAGCAATAACCCTGTTCTCTCTCCCTGTTCTCTCTCCCTGTTCTCTCTCCCTGTTCTGGGGTATAACCCTGTTCCCTCTCCCTGTTCCCTCTCCCTGTTCCCTCTCCCTGTTCCCTCTCCCTGTTCCCTCTCCCTGTTCCCAGCAATAACCCTGTTCCCTCTCCCTGTTCCCTCTCCCTGTTCCCTCTCCCTGTTCCCTCTCCCTGTTCCCTCTCCCTGTTCCCTCTCCCTGTTCCCTCTCCCTGTTCCCTCTCCCTGTTCCCTCTCCCTGTTCCCTCTCCCTGTTCCCTCTCCCTGTTCTGGGGTATAACCCTGTTCTCTCTCCCTGTTCTCTCTCCCTGTTCTCTCTCCCTGTTCTCTCTCCCTGTTCTCTCTCCCTGTTCTCTCTCCCTGTTCTGGGGTATAACCCTGTTCTCTCTCCCTGTTCTCTCTCCCTGTTCCCAGCAATAACCCTGTTCTCTCTCCCTGTTCTCTCTCCCTGTTCTGGGGTATAACCCTGTTCCCTCTCCCTGTTCCCTCTCCCTGTTCCCTCTCCCTGTTCCCAGCAATAATCCTGTTCCCTCTCCCTGTTCCCTCTCCACAGGCTGCATCACCATCGTGGGCCTGCTGTACCACAACATGCATCACTTCTTTAACAACATCAACCCCATGGACACCAGGTGAGTGCCTGGCTGCCCCAGGTGACCCCTCAGCCATTCCCAAAGGGCATTTCCCAGGCAGTGCAGGCTGTGCTGTTGGCTGTTCACACTCAGGTGGTCCCTAAATGGCATTGCCCAGTGATTACAGGCTGTGCTGCTGCCTGCCCTGCTCTCCCACAGGTGGCTCTGCCTCCAGTCTGCAATATTCTGTATATTTTACATGAGGAAATTGAGGCAATAACTTACCAGAGCCCACGTTTTCCAAAGAGGGGGATCAATGCAATTTCTTAAGGTAATAAGATGTAATCTCAGTTTTTCAAAGGGAGAAAGAGAATTAAAATGATCCTGACTCAGGTCAAAGTTTATTGAAGGTGCTGCATGTCAAAGCTCTGTGTTCTAGTGCACTGTCAGGTCCTGGGGCTCTGGCACACAAATGGAACAGAGCTGTAGTCTTGGAGGGCATTCCCTGAAATCTCTGGGCAGGACAATCTGGAGATCCCTTCCTGCTCCCCTGAGCTGGGTTTGATTTCTGCACTCATTTCCAGAATGAAGGCTCTGCCCTGTCACAGGGTTAACAAAATACAAAGTCACTGGAAAAGAAATGTTTCCTAGATTTCTACAATTAATTCAAGCTGCTTGAAATGCCTGCAGTGTGTCATGCACTACAAGATCTTGTCCTTGAACCTGTAGATGCAGGTCTGCCCTGCAGCAGACCAGCATCCCAAAAGGTAATAATTCAGGGAATGCTGCCTTAGCAATTCTTCCTCTGTGGAGCCAAACCCCAGGTACTCAAAGATGTTTTAAAAATAAGTATGCACTTCTCTTCTGCTTGCTTTTCTTTTTTGTGCTCTACTGTTATAACTTTTTTGCTTACTTTTCAGTAGAATAATTTTTCTCTCAGAGTAGTTTGTTTTAGAGAATTTCTTTTGTGTTCCTTCCACCACTGGGCTACTTAAACACCTGTAATTTGAAACCCACCCTTCTTCTTTTCTTGTGGTGGAAAACCAAAACCAAAACTCTTGGAGCTTTTGTGCTGTACAGACACGGAGCTATTTTCAGACTCCATAAATACCAGTTTCTAAGGGGAGCAGCTTTTGGTTCTTTACCCAGAGCAGATGAAACCCAGAATGTTCTGAGCCCATCCTGCTGCTGTTCAGGGCAGTTTGTGTAAGTGTGGGGCTGGGTGAGGAAAGGCTTTGCAGAATCTCCATTCCCTGCTGCTGGTGAGGGTTTGTCATGCTCCAAAATTCACCAAAGGGTCTCTGAAGGGAAAACAAGCAGAGCAAGGGTGTGGGAAAAGCATCCAGGCTCTTAATCTGGGTAGGAGAAACCTCAGACTGTTGGATAATGAGTTTAACTTCACAAATCCCTATCTCAACTGAAATTTGTTGTATCAGAGCAGCAAATTCTGCCTTGAGATGAACAAGTCCCATTCCATGCTGGTTTCTGGGAGCAGAAGTAATCTCTGATGCTGATGGGGTTTTTAAGGTCAGGACTGAGGGGTTGTGCTAAATGAGTTCTGTTCTGTGACAAGGAGCTGGGTGCAGTTATTTCAGCCTCTGGCGTGAGGGGTTTTGGGGTTTTTCTGAAATAAAAATAAGAAACCACTGCAGACAGGTGGTGGGTGCAAACAAGGTGGTTTTTCATTTGTTTCCAGCTGGCCCTTTCCGGGTGGGCTGTGTTTGGGAACCCAGGCTGGTGGTTAATTCACCCAGGCTCCCATTTCTCCTGGTAAAATCCATTCATCCACTGCCCAAGGCACAGGTGACAGCAGTCATTTATTTAATCCTGCAGTTTGTTACTGAGAGGGTAAAAAAGTCTACCCTGAAACCAAATGGATCTCAGTTCCTCCTGAATGTGTGAAAATGCCAAACTCATAAGTTTTACCTTAAAATAAGGGCTCTTATGTACTGCAAAATTACTTCCCCCTAGAATAAATTAATTTCCAGGTCTAATTAGCTGTTCAGTCCAGTTCAGCTGTGTGTGCTCTGACCTGTCTTTCCCTCTAACAAATCTAACTGGACATCATCTATTTTTCAAGGTGAAGCTATAAATCACCTCTAAATAGATTCCTGTGTTTATTTTGTGCATTTTGTCGGTGTGTCTCACACACTGATTTATCTGTTTGACCAGCCAGCGCCTGCAAGTCTCCTCCTCACTTTCAGGAAATTGTTTGGATCCCTCCTTAGGATTCTCCCTGATTCCCTCAAACCCTTCCAGCAAGGCTTGAGAACCTTCACCATGGGTGAAGGAGGAGCTTTGCTGGCAGTCCCCAGTGTCCAGAGCTGTCCCCATCCTTTGTCCCCATCCTTTACAGGTGCCCAGGGCTGTCCCCATCCTTTGTCCCCATCCTTTACAGGTGCCCAGAGCTGTCCCCATCCCTTACAGGTGTTCAGGGCTGTCCCCATCCTTTGTCCCCATCCTTTACAGGTGCCCAGGGCTGTCCCCATCCTTTACAGGTGTTCAGGGCTGTCCCCATCCTTTGTCCCCATCCTTTACAGGTGCCCAGGGCTGTCCCCATCCTTTACAGGTGTCCAGAGCTGTCCCCATCCTTTACAGGTGCGTGGCCTCTGCTCCTGTGGGACCTCTGGGGCCAGACCTGGCTGCCCTGGAGGAACCTGAAGGGAACAAGGAGGGTCTGTGTCCTTTGCTGTTATGTATGAACTAAACCCCAGTGGTTATTCTGTTCCTTAACATGTTTGCTTCTCCCCAAGGATTGCTGGAGCTGCTGCCTACAGGGGCTCCCTGATCTCAGCCAGCAGCTTCCTCATCTCCATCAAGGTGGAGCCTGTGCCTCAGCTGTCCTACAACCTGTCAGGCTCTCCCCTCATCACCATCCAGCTCAGCCACACCCTGGTGAGTGTCATGGAGCTGCTGCTCTGGGCTGTGCAGAATCTCCGTGCCTGCGACTGTTTCTTGGTGCTTCTCCCATGAGTTTTGAGGGCATTTTACTTCTCCTATGATTTTTGTGGGCGTTTTTAGCGGCAGTTCAGTTGCCATTCGTGGCTGCCACATTTCTCTTTTCCCCAGCATTGTGGTTTCTTTCTCCCCACTGCCAAAGGCTGCTGGGTGCCCAGGCAGCTGGAGCCCCTGTCTGTGTGCACTGGTGTGTGTTTGTGTGTGTGCTCTGGTGTGTTTATGTGTGTGCTCTGGTGTGTGTTTGTGTGTGTGCTCTGGTGTGTGTGTGTGTGCTCTGGTGTGTTTGCTCTGTGTGCTCTGGTGTGTTTGTGCCCTGTGTGTCTGTGCAGCCTGCAGCACACTGGGGTGAAGTGCTGCTTTCCTTTCCCACTGGGGTGCTCAATAACAATTCCCTTGTGGTTTTTGCTTTTTGATCCTGGTCCACACTGAGATAACTGAGGGGATTTGATGGTTTGGTGTCGGTGGAATGGGGGAGTTCAGGCTCTGAGGTGCTGAGAGGGGGCAGTGCAGCATCTCTGACCCACTTACAGCTGTGGATGGGAGCAGCAAGGAAAGATTTAAATTCTTAAACGTTTCCTAGAATACATCTCTTAGATGTTCTCCTGAATATTTTATCATATTTTCCTTTTAAAGCTATTTTCAAGCTGGTTTCTCTGCTTTCTGTTGGGCTCTTGGTAAGGCTGGAGCAGAAGCAGGGAGGATCCCTGAGGCCCAGCAGTGAAATGTGCTGTTTTGCTGGCATTTTCCAAACTGAGTGCTCCCAAATGTCCCCAGAGGCCTCTTAGAGGTGGGCACTTGTGAAGAGTGAGTTTTGCATAGATCATTTCCAAAATGCACTTTGCTGTTCGTGCCCAGGCTCTCCCTGTGCTGCAGAGGTGATGATTCACTGGCAGGCTCCTGGCTGAACCTGTGGTTTTTGCTTTTCTGGGACACAGGAGCGCTGCATTTGTCAGGCATCTCTCTGCTGCAGGCAGCAGAACCCCTGAGGAGGGGGAATGGTGGATGGTGTTAGGAAAATTAATCCACAAACACCAAAAAGGAGACAGAGGAGCCCTTTCTGGCTTTATCCAAATAGAGGAGAGGCCATGGGGCATTCCCCTGGGATCTCTCCAGTTTTTGGAGGATGCAGCCTCATTTTATCCCAATTTCCCAGCCACATTTTGAAACACGAGGTATTCCAAGTGGGGACTAATTAATTAATTAGGGAAGGGTACAGGGAGTATCTGTCAGTGCTGTGTCAGTGCTTCCCTTGGCAGAGAGCAGCGTGGGGCAGAGCTGGGCTGTGGGGCTGAGAACTCACCCCAGAGCTAATAAAAACCTGTTAATTCAGGTTAATTCAGGTTAATTCAGGTTAATTCATGGGCCAGGGGGAGCAGGCTGGGCTCTGCCAGGGCCATTGGCTGTGATTGCAGCACAGCCTCTGTGAACACTGAATGTATTTCGTTGCTCTTTTTCATCAGCAAAATTTTGCCTGAGTTAAGTCCTCTAAGAGACAATTTAATACTCAAAATTGCAATGGTCTGTTGCTATTCAGGAGGGCTTCAGGGACAGACAGACATTTCTTTGACAGATGTAACAGGTGGTGATGCTCTGCTCTTACCAGCCCAGTGAGTTACTGTGTCCAGAGCACAGAAATTCAGAGAAATCCCCAGAACCACCTCCAGGGCCTGGGGAGGATGTGGAGACCGAGGGGCCTTGGGGCTGGAGGCAGCTCAGTCCTGACCTGTCCAGAGGCAACTGCACATTCTGTGAAATGATTATCTGAAAAAAATCTGTTTCCAGCAAGATGTTTTTCATAGCAGGAACAACTGGAGAAGCACTGACATTTCACTGCTGTGATCCAAGAAATTACAGCACGGGGCAGAAATTCAGGAGAGATGAATGTCAAGGCTGAAATGCAGCACGATGTGCTCTGGAAAAAGTCAGAGGAGGAAATGGTGTCAAACAGCACCAGTGTTTTGTAGGACCCACATGGCTGCATAGCACAGCTACACAGCATCAGCCCAGGCTCTGCCCAGGCTGCAGGTCCAGCCTGACACAGCTGCAGCTGATGTAACACACAGCTTTGTCAGGAAAATTAATCCACAAACACCAGGGGTTTATGTCCAGAAAGGAGACAGAGGAGCCCTTTCTGACTTTATTCCAATACAGGGAGAGGCCATGGGGCATCCCCTGGGATGTCTCACATTTTTGGTGGACACAGCCTCCCTTTCTATCCCAATTTCCAGCCGCATTTCCTTCTCTCTTTCCCCATTTCTGAGGTACTTGAGAGGTTCAAACTCCCCAAAACACCTGATACCAGAGATTCCCCTCTAATGTACAACCCTCCCCTTTTAGTTTTTAATTCTTACGGAATTTAGGGGTTTTTCCTCCCCACTGTTTCTTTCATCTTTGAATGTCTAATTTAATTTATCAGCAAACCTATAATTTATTTGTAAAAGCAAAATCTCTTATTCCATTCATCAATCAGTGGAATCCTTCCTACGGTTTCTTTTATCTCCCAGTGCTGGTTTTATCCACCAGCTTGTTTGGAAGGACAAATCTGCTATTCCTCTCCTTTTGTAGCTGGAAATCCTTGTGTTTCAGGCAGCTTTCAGCTGTGGGAGCAGCAGCAGGGCGTAAATCCAGGCATGTTTGGTACAAAGAGGGCCCAGGACTGCAGGGACACTGCAGTGGTCCCAGCCTGGGTGCTGCTCTGTGATCCCTCACTCCTGACTGGCACTCCAGAGAAAACTGCCTCACATCTGGAGCACAACTTCTTGTACACTCGTTTCAAGCACTTGGAGCTTTCTCCAGGGCTTTATTTTCTCATTGCTCTTTGCAGAAGAGGAACATGTGCAGCTGCAGTTTTGGAGAGTTATGAGCTCCTGGCTGCTGCACCCTCTGTGAGAATCCTCTGGTGAAGATGAGATGCAAATTGGGAATTCTTAATGCAGCTGCTTTTCCCTCAAATGTAGTTTGGGGCAGTTCCACTTTGAAGAATTGTTTGGTTCTGGGAAAAAAAGGCATGTTTTCCTAAGATACTGCAAGTCAGGACTAATTCAGCATTGTTCCATCTCAGTGGTGGTCCATTTTAACAAACACAATGCTTGGGGAGCTGAGAGGTGCTCATCTTTCCTGCCGTGTTCTCACACTGAATCCTTAAACAGCGGCTCCTCTCCTCTTGGTGAGGAGCTGCCTCTGCTCTCCCCCTTTGTGCAGCGAGTGCTTCCCACCAGGACCCTGCTGGGGCCCTTCCCTTCACCAGGGAGGCTTCAGCAGCTTCTCCTCTTGATTATCAGCTCCTCCCTCCATCAGCCTCTCCTCTCCATTGTCATCAGCTTCTTCCTTCAGCAGCTTCTCCTCTCCATTATCAGCTCCTTCCTCTATCAGCCTCTCCTCTCCATTGTCATCAGCCCCTTCCTTCAGCAGCTTCTCCTCTCCATCATCATCAGCTTCTTCCTTCAGCAGCTTCTCCTCTGGATTGCCAGCTCCTTCCTTCCTTCAGTAGCTTCTCCCAATTACATCTCCTTCCTTTAGCATCTCCTCTCCATTATCATCTCCTTCCTTCAGCAGCTTCTCCTCTCCATTATCAGCTTCTCCTCTATCAGCCTCTCCTCTCCACTATCATCAGCTTCTCCTCTTGATTATCAGCTCCTTCCTCTATCAGTCTCTCCATTATCATCAGCAGCTTCTCCTCTGGATTACCAGCTCCTTCCTTCCTTTAGCATCTTCTCCTCTCGATTATTATCAGCTCCTTCCTTCAGCAACTGCTGCTTCCAGTCCCTCTCCTGTTCCTGGTGCCCTTTCCCACTCTGTCCCTGGCTCTCCCCGTTCCTCTCCTGTTCCTGGTGCCCTCTCCCGCTCTGTCCCTGGCTCTCCCAGTCCCTCTCCTGCTCTGTCCCTGGCTCTCCCATTCCCTCTCCTGCTCTGTCCCTGGCTCTCCCATTCCCTCTCCTGCTCTGTCCCTGGCTCTCCCAGTCCCTCTCCCACTCTGTCCCTGGCTCTCCCATTCCCTCTCCTGCTCTGTCCCTGGCTCTCCCATTCCCTCTCCTGCTCTGTCCCTGGCTCTCCCAGTCCCTCTCCCACTCTGTCCCTGGCTCTCCCAGTCCCTCTCCCACTCTGTCCCTGGCTCTCCCAGTCCCTCTCCCACTCTGTCCCTGGCTCTCCCCGTTCCTCTCCTGTTCCTGGTGCCCTCTCCTGCTCTGTCCTTGCTCTCCCAGTCCCTCTCTCACTCTGTCCCTGGCTCTCTCCGTTCCTCTCCTGTCCCTGGCTCTCCCAGTCCCTCTCCCACTCTGTCCCTGGCTCTCCCTGTCCCTCTCCTGTTCCTGGTGCCCTCTCCCACTCTGTCCCTGGCTCTCCCAGTTCCTCTCCTGCTCTGTCCTTGCTCTCCCAGTCCCTCTCCTGTTCCTGGCACCCTCTCCTGCTCTGTCCCTGGCTCTCCCAGTCCCTCTCCTGCTCTGTCCCTGGCTCTCCCAGTCCCTCTCCTGCTCTGTCCCTGGCTCTCCCAGTCCCTCTCCCGTTCCTGGCTGTCCTGCAGGAGCTGCAGGAACATCTCAGCATTGGGGGATGCTGCCCTGCAGGCACCTCAGCCCTTCTCCTCCAAGTCAGCCTCGTTCACAAACCACTCCTCACTTGTCCCCTCTCACTGAGCTCTGAATGAGGCAGGGGGACTTTGCCTGAAAACTCACCCCAACCTCCTCCTCTTCTCTCTCATTTTCCTGGCCAGGCCACACCTGAGGTTTGTTTAATATCATTGCTGATAAGAAAATAAAACAAGGGAAGAAGCAATTCCCGTTGGTACACAAATATTGGTGCTACCCTGAGAGAGGCAAATCAATGTGGAGCCAATTAATTTTGATGGCAAGTTAAGTGTTGGCTAATTTATATATCGATTGAGGAAAAGCAATGAATCTTGCCCACATCTGCAGAACAAAGGTAGAATTTTTCAGTGGATG